TTGGCCTACTAAATATATCAATTTGTGCAAATGTCTCTTGTTTAACACCATCAACAATACAGAATGTACTCTGCTTCAAGTGACTCATTAAGCAAATTGGCCTACTAAATATATCAATTTGTGGAAAATGTTTCTTGTTTAACACCATCAACAATGCAGAATGTACAACAATGCAGAATTAAACAAATTGGCCTGTTTAATATGTCAACTTATGCAGTGTTTCCTGTTTAATGTCATCAACAATGATTGAGAAATTTATTCTGCTTCAAGTGATTTGTTAAGCAAATTGGCCTGTATAATCTATCAACTTGTGTAGTGTCTCCTGTTTCGGTTAATTAAGAGTGACAGAGATATATTCTGCTTCAAATGATTTGTTAGGAAAGTTCACCTGTTTAATATTATTTTCCTTGTTTAATAGTGCTTGAGTTATTTCCTTGGTTTGCCCCCTATTACAACCCCAAAAAATACACTCCACACTTTGGGGTCATTGGTGTGTTATAAAAGTGACAGTTAAATCCAGCCAATCGATTAAGGTAGCCCAAGAGTCGGTGGTGGCTGGTGTTGACTAGCTGCTGTAGTCTGTCACTTGAAAATGAGGGATGGCTAGTGCAGACGGCTCTTGAGTAGATTTATGAGAAATTCAACAAACAACAACAGTTATTTGCTGTTTTCAGCCATTCAGTATGACATATTCATTGTTTGAACTAGTCAATAGGTATATGGCTCCTGAGTGAAATATTCTGTTTCATTTGATATGGCATATGCCCAGTTAAAGATATTTTATTATCAAAAACCTGAATTACACTTAGTTGACCTTTGTGACCAAAAAAATCAGTATGTGGGTTGTTTACAGATGAGTCTGTTTGGCTTATAGTAATGTGATAGTTAATTTCTACTTGTTGCCCGACAATTCAAACATGCAACGTAACTTGAGCCACAAGAACAAGGGCTCCCTCACGGACTGAGCCTCATTCAACTGCATGGTTTGCATGTGACTAAAACTACTAGTGATTACAATTGTCTAGGTTTTTGAGTAAGTATTGTTACGTCTCTGGTCGTTTGTTAATTTTCCGTAGAAATTCATTCCAAAAAACTTCAGCGATACAAGTCCTTTTTTAAATAAAACTAGTTTATTCTTTCTCAATACAACTTTGCAATACACTTAATTTCCACAGTCACTTTAACTTAAACACGCTAGAATTCACAATGATTCACGCATTTTACTTATGGCTTGACTTGATTATCTGTCTTTGTATCTCTCTGTCTGCAATTATCTCTCTGCCGTCACTTTATTTGCCGGCTTATATACGAGAACAGAGCATGCCTAGAAAAGCTTAGAGTTGCGATGGAACAGACACAATCTTTCTAGAACTCCAGTGCATGCCCCAAGCATCGCGCGACATCTGCTGTCGTAACACTGCCCCTTCCTTAGTATTGTTGATCTCGAACAATAGCTACTTACATTAAACCAACAGATAATTAACAATAACTTAATTAAATGTACAGAATTTACAAACAAAATTAAAATTCAACAAAGTCTCTTAATTTTACGGGACGTATCTTCTTCCGTACTGGTCTCTGTGTCGTTGGCTTCTGCTTCACGTGGGGTTCATCTGCTCCATCAAGAAATGTCTGTCCTATTATCGGTAACAGTCACATCAGTGGTAGTAACTTCATCAAGGGCTTCACTGTTTCCCTTCTTAAAACCGGGTAGAGTTTCTTCTTCGACGGTGGTTTTTTCAGGTAACAAGTCTTTGGCGACGTCATTTGTTCTGCTGTTCCTTTCGTTCCAACTGAAATGTTTTGGACCATGACAACACCAAAGCCTGTTGGCAAGCACCACTTTTGGCTTACCTCACCGACCACATTTTATTTGGAAAGTCACGTCTGAGAGACAGTCCACTATATCATATAGGCCTTCCCATGGAAAAGACAACTTAAGAGACTTCCCTTTGGTCTTCCTGGGATTATACAACCACACCTTGTCTCCTGTAGATCTCTTATCATAACATAACTTCATGGAATCAGCAGACGTTTTCAAGTTTGAATGCATTTGATGGTGAATAACATTCATCCTTTCCGATAACACTTTCACAAAC